GGGCGAGGATTAAATCCCCTGCCATTGGTGCCGGCTTTGCCCCCCAGCTTAAACCTCCACACGCTGTCCTTGCTGTGTTTTGGCACGACAGCTCATGGGACGTGATACTTTCATACAAGAAGTGGTTTTTTTCCTTTCTCAGACTAACAACATATCACTAAGAAGCTTATGTGCAGCTTCAAGTGTCCGGAAGAACATCAGACACCAAAAGCCTTAAAAAAGGCAGAAAAAGAAAGGTCTCATCGGTTATATGAGTTTAGACTCCTTAACCTTGCTTTTGGGGAAAAAAGAATACGCAAACTTTGTAGTAGTTTCAAGTACTCACAATCTGTGGTTTTAATACTGTTTCTTTATATGTGGTAAACACCGACAGATGTGATGGATTTCCATATATAAATGTTTCATAGAATCACAGAATGGTTTGGGTTGGAAGGGACCTTAAAGACCATCTAGTTCCAACCCCCCTGCCATGGGCTGAGACACCTTCCACTAGACTAGGTTTGTGCCTGCTTGTTTCTAAAATGAAATTTGAGTGTTGCCTGCTGGCAAGTGCAAGCGCTCACTGGATTTTAAAAAATCTCCCTTTTCTGAACTTTATTCTTGAAGGTTTGCTTACCTCAGCATATGCCACTGATTGCCCCATATAAATCTAATTGTTAAAAAGTAAGGATTTTTGGTTGGCCTTTTTTAAAAGGCTGTAATCCTTTAGGATTATAACACTCGCCACAATTCAGACAAGTATTTAAGCAAGGTCTGTATTTCCAGCATTTTCAAAGGATAGACCTGGATAATAGCAACTGCTTCTGGAACCGGATGAGGCAGGAGGGAAGTGTACACGTAGGTGACTAACGCTGTCTGATGTCGGTGGTTGGAACAGGGTGACTGTAGGTTGACTGGTACCTGGTTGTGTAGGTTACAGACAGTGGCTAGGGTGTGTGGGCACCCAGATTGTAATAACTAACAAGAATCCCTTCCCATGCCCTTCCACCACTATTTCCTAGCCTTGATGATAGATTACAGTGTATTTGTAAAGATACCAGCTTCTTAATTTTTAGATTTTTTACATCATTAATAAAATAGAGTCAACTAATATTTTTTTTTTTTTCCCCCTGTGTTCTGAAATACTTTTATTTTAGGAAATACGATTTATCTCTGGGAGTTCTTACTAGCACTACTCCAGGATAAAGCTACGTGTCCCAAATATATCAAATGGACTCAAAGAGAGAAGGGCATTTTCAAATTGGTAGATTCCAAGGCTGTCTCCAGGTTGTGGGGAAAACACAAAAACAAACCTGACATGAATTATGAAACAATGGGTAGAGCTCTCAGGTATGTGCATTTTTAATAAAAGACTGTTTTTGTTGCTTCCATGTTTGCATGCATTAATTGCCTCATCTCATTTGTGTAACAACAGTAAATTTGGGAAATGAAGAAGTTATTTCAGCAGAATAAATAACTGAAAGTAACCTGTACTGACCCCAGACCCAGATCAGTAGCTCAGACATTTTCAGTGCTGCTGCAAAAACTGCATCTTCACAGTCAGACACAGACAAAGTAAGAGACGGAAGATTCCAAATGGAGCAAGCCTTTTATGTTTTAAAACATCTTATCATGTGCCTTTGCCTATCAGGCTGGGATTTTCCTCATGCATGAGAGACTGCAAAATAACCAGACATCCACAAAGCTTTGATCTTACCTGCTGACTGATAGCTGTCCAACTGAGCAGCTATGAATTTCATTTCCCTTCACCCCTCAACCTTGGAGTGTGCAATTTCATAGAATCACAGAACCATAGAATGGTTTGGGTTGGAAGGGACCTTAAAGACCATCTAGTTCCACCCCCCCTGCCTTGGGCAGGGACACCTTCCACTAGACCAGGTTGCTCAAAGCCTCATCCAGCCTGGCCTTGAACACTCCCAGAGATGGGGCATCCACAGCTTCTCTGGGCAACCTGTTCCAGTGCCTCACCACCCTCTCTGGGAAGAACTTCTTCCTGGTATCCAATCTAAGCCTCCCCACTTTCAATTTAAACCCGTTCCCCCTCGTCCTGTCACTACAGGCCCTTGTAAAAATTTCAGCTTGCCCTACTAATTTGTAAATATAACAGAAGCCGTGCTCCCCTGTCCTGTTGCCTTTGCTTTGTTGTAGCTAAAATCTCTGCCAGTGCTTACTGGTGAGTAAGCATGAATTCAAGTAACTGAAAGAACACTCTGACTCAAGAGGAGAATTAGAAGCTTCATGCAACTTTTCAAGAGTATGAGTTGATAGAGCTGCCAAGTCACAGAGTTCTCTTTTGCCTCAGAGTTATCTAAGGTTGAAATTAAAAGGTGACAAGAAATACCAGTAAAAAGAAAGTTGCTTCAGGAAAAAATACGCTATTAAATTGGCCACTCCTTTATAGGGAAGAAACTAAGCACTTAAAATATTTAAATCCTAAGCTTCTGCTTGTTATTATGGTCTTATTTTCGGGGGGGTGGTGTTGCTTTTTCGTTTGTTTGGTTTGGGTTTTGGCAAAAAACACTGTGTGACTTGATGTGTGTATGCTTTAATTAGATACTATTACCAAAGAGGAATACTGGCTAAAGTGGAAGGTCAGCGCCTAGTATATCAATTCAAAGAAATGCCAAAAGATCTCGTCTATATAGACGATGAAGATGCGAGCCCTAGCACTGAACCATCAGATGCAACTCTGCTCTCAACTCCTGTGGCCAACAGAAACCAGTCCAACAGATCTAGAGCATCTGCGAATGCGGGAACAAAGGGAGGATCCACCCCAGTGCTAAAAACAGGAAACGTGAAGCCTGCTAAGCTGAAGGAGCACGTAGAAGTTGTACAGCAGCAGACACCTGGCTTGACTTCAGAAGTTTTCAGGACAATGCAATCTCCGCAGCCGGTACATCCCACTCAGCTTTTTCGGACAGTTCATGTAATGCAGCCATTGCAGTCCCTCACAGAAGGACACGCAGCTGTAACCGGTAATGTTCCGGATGAAACGTTAAGTCCCTCGGTTCAGAATATCAGGTAAGAAGAAATACAGAAAATAGATGCACGTGTAATAAATTCACTGGATGATGGCTAGATTCTTTGTTGTGCTTCAAAAATATTGCTCATCTCCCCATTCAGTTGAAGTGAAATGGTGTCTTTGTGGCTGATCCTAGCAAATGGGAGTTACTGCAGCGTAGTGTGACATGTAGACTCGTAAATGCTCTGCCTTTGGTGGAGGAAAAGGCATCTTTCCTGCAGTGTTAGGACTGATGCAAATCCTTTAGAAAAGAAAAATACACAACTTCTCTTTAAAATGGGTATCATCAGTTTTAGTCCACAGCAGAGGCAGCATTTTCATGGCGTTGCTTTTTCACTGACTGCTCGGTGTCTTCGCTTCTGACTTAGAGACAGTGTGTCTGCATGACCCCTTCACAATATTTTCTTTCTTGCTTCTTAATTTTTCTTCTTAGGAATTTTTTTGTCATCTCTCTCATCTTTTGTATTGTCTCCAGTTGCAACAGGGTAAATCTCTGTGTTATCTACTCTGGCACTTTGCTGCTGTTACAACAGCATGTTCTTTTCCTTTTAGGAAACAATTAGCAGAATAATCTCATGGGAGTTGTGTATCTGCAGGACTTTGGGAGATAGTCATGCTCCACTCTTAATTTGTAAGTCAACTGGCTAAGGCTACCCAGCATTTAAGCATCCTGACTCCTTTGTTACGTACAACGTAGTAGGAGGAGGAGAATCCTAATTGAATAGGCTTTAAAAACAATCACTTAAGCCTGGTTTTACCCTAGCCTGAGGCATCTCTTGGTGGAGCTTATTCCTCTCCGCTGACTACAAAAGACCTAAACTAAATAAATGTTCTTGTAATCTAGGCCCTTCACAGGAAGGTCAGACCAGCACCCACCTCTCTGCCACCTCCTTTCAGGTAGTTGTAGAGAGCGATAAGGTCTCCCCTGAGCCTCCTCTTCTCCAGGCTGAACACCCCCAGTTCACTCAGCGGCTGCTCACAGGACTTGTGCTCCAGACCCTTCACCAGCTCTGTTGCCCTTCTCTGGACACACTCCAGCACCTCCGTGTCTGTCTTGTAGGGAGGGACCCAGAACTGAACACAGGATTTGAGGTGTGGCCTCACCAGTGCCCAGTACAGGGGGACAATCACTGCCCTACTCCTGCTGGCCACACTATTCCTGATGCAGCCCAGGATGCCACTGGCCTTCTTGGCTACCTAGGCACACTGCCAGCTCATATTCATCCAGCTGTCGACCAACTCCCCCAGCTAGTTTTCCACCGGGCAGTTCTCCAATCCCTCATCCCCAAACCTGTAGCGTTGCAGAGGGTTGTTGTGACCCAAGTGCAGAACATGGCCTTGTTGAACCTCATACAGATACCCTCGGCCCTTTGATCCAGCCTATCCAGATCCCTCTGTAGTGCCTTCCTACCCTCAGGCTGATCAACACTCCTGGCCAACTTGGTGCTGTCTGCAAACTTACTCGATTCCCTCATCCAAATAATTGCTAAATACAGTAGACAGAACTGGATAAAGATATTAATCAGAACTGAAAATTCTAGTTCAATCCCTCAGCTAGAGAGATGTGTTAAAAGCTAGGCAGTTATTAAAACTCCACTTACATTAAAGGAAAATCCCAAATAGCAAAACCAGCTATGTTTTTCAGAAGAACTGAAACTGTTTAAATCAGGTTCCAGTGACTGATACAATAGAATCAATAAGAGACGCTTTAGAAGATGACCAAGTAGTTGAGGAAGCTGAAGATTTATATATAAGAAATGACAAACCAAGACTGCAACTTCAGTCAAGAAAAAAGCTGTATTACCTCTTCTTGGGTAAAAAAAAAACCCCAACCATCTTTACATTTGTCCCTGGACTTCCTAGTTTGAATCCTCTTTTTTTAAATTTTCGTAAAAATTATGAGATGTTTTCATTCACGTTGTAACAGGAAAAATTCATACTGAAAAGAGAAATTCACTGGTTGCAAGATTGCAAGGGAATGAATACACTGAGCCATGAAAGCCAAAATCCTTATAGTTACTGGTAACCACTGTGAAACAAATGGGGAGAGTTACCATTTTTAAGTAGACAATGTATGTTTTCATTTGTATTTTAATTCTAAAATGCAGGATTTGAAATCAAATCGTGTTTTACTGACTGTTCTAACCAGCTAGAATTAGGAGGCACACAGGACAGGGAAAGGGTGTATTTGACCAGAGGTTGATGTGAAAGTTATTGCCTAATTATGAAGAATTTGACAAAATTAAAAAAGAAAAATGATCCAGTTTTGATATTTATTTAGAAAATCAACAAAAATGTGCATCAGTGTGATGTGTCTTGTGAGTTTTTAAAGCTTAGAAATGAAGTTGCTCAGTCCAGTATAACCCTACGATACAGGGTTGAAGGATTTAATTACTTTTAAGTTGTAAAAAGTGACTAGGGCAGTATAATGAAGGGAAACAAGTACAGACACAACTGAAGCTATACAGCACCAGTTAAGTCAGTACAATAATGCTACTAAGCATTAATAGGGGGAGAGTTCAGCAATTTACAGTTAAATAGCTCTAGGCTAGACCTACACTAGATTATATATCAAACCCAGTATCAGTAGTCCAGAAGGTATAAAAAAGGATAACAACAAACAGAAATATCCGTAAGACCTAATAAGGCAGGCAGGCAAGAAGCCCAGCCTAACATCTGGAAAGCTGCTCAGTGACATTATGACATCCAGTTATTGCATTAACGGTATTTCACAATCAGACCTTGGGCAAGAAGCTAAGGGGGAAAAAAAAGTAGTAGAGATGATACGTGTGTGAAGTTCAAAT